CGCCCCCCCGGACTGCCAGGCTCCCCCGGCACTGAGCCCAGCTATCGGGTGCTGCAGACCCTGCCCTTCCTGTACCACTGTGCCCCAGAACCTTGAACATGACCTTGGAGGGAGCCTGAAAGAAAAGGTCTAAGCAGTACGTACCTGCTGGGGCACTCTAATTTACATAAAGCACTTAATTGCCGCTAATGAGGGAGGGCAGTGATCCTGTCGGGCAGCTCTGCGCTAGCTACTGCACATGGCACATCCTTAGGTTCAACGAGCCGCCGGCACGCGGGCACGCACCGTCTGATGTGCCGAGGCAGAACCTGGTATCCTCTGGGCTTTGGCAAAGGGGGAGCCAGGCTCTGCCCCAGCCCGCACGTTCCCGGGAGCCAGCGCAGGGCCGGGCATCAACAGCCTGAGCCTTGGCTGCTGCGGCAAAGGGGACTGTTCTGGGCAGCCGGGCGGGCATGCACGCTTGGGTGACTGCTGGGCACCGTCCCCTGCACCACCTGTAATCCCAACGGCCATCAGCACCGTTTGCTCCTAAATAGAACCCCGTGCCTCTCCCCTGCCACTCCATCCCAACTCAGACCAGTAGCACATGGAGATGGTGGGATATCTGAGACGCACGACGTGCAACTTTTCGTTTCGCTCCGCACGGAGCTGTGCGGCAAGCCCCGGGCGACAGGGCTGTCCCTCTGCTTTTAGCTCAGCCACTTGGGTGTTTTAGGTCCCTACAAACAATCCCTGCCTCACCTCCTTCCTCTGCATAATGGGAATAATATTTACTGACTCCAACACGTGACTCTGAGGGGCATGTGGCAAGCCTCTTCGAGAAAGCACCAAGTTCAAAGACACTAATAATAATGCCTATTATCTTTACACCACATCTATAATTACAGCAAAGTATAGTCTGTCTTGAGAAACTGGGGAAAAAGCTTTCGGATCTGGGTGTTATTTCACACTTTAAAAGCACTCACCGCTCCGTTAAGGTTCTGCAGTTCCAGCAAGGCAACTTTGGAAACGCTTTTGGGTCTTTTTTTATTCTTATTAGTATGAAAATCAGGAGAGTCTTTATTGAGGTGCCCAAACAAGATCACCAGTGATCCTGCAGCCCGTCATTATCAGCTTATCTGGCGCAGTGAGTCATCTCAGAGCTCGACTATTCCGAGGCTTATCCCATCTGCTGGAATAAACACTGCGGCCAGAAAGGCTGTGCCAAAGGAACAGAGAGGCTGCCAAATCCAGCACGGAAGGACACGCTTGTCATTTCAGCTCAGCTACTTCCCCACCTAATCGAGCTCATTTTGCGTCCGTATCGTGCTTCTGCTCCGCAATTCCCTCTTCTCCGTGGTGGGAGCAGTCCTGCAGCCCTCCGGTGTTCCGCAGAGGAGCTGGTGGAGGGCACGGGGACGGGCGGCTGCTGCGCCGAACGCACAGAGCTGGCAAAAACCAGAGGAAAAAGGCTGGAGAGATGCCCAGGGTCAGCGCCCGCTCTCCATCGCCGGGGCACAGAGCAGCCTGGGCCCCAGCTCACTCGGCAGCTCTGCTGAGGACTGATCACTTCTGGTTTTTCGAAGGCTCAATACGTGGCTGGAGGCAGCATTTTTTTCCAAGCCCAGGCTCTCCAAACCACCCAGTTCACAGACGTGCTCTGACATAGGCAGAACACTGGTTTTTCATGCCTTACAGACACCTGCATCGTTCTTCCCTGCTTTGCAACGATTATCCTCTTTTTCCGCGAATTCTCTGCTGCAAATACTCGTGACCCCTCTCTGCTGCAGCTGCAGCCCAGTTAACCACAGAGAACAAGGCTTTGGACAACCAGTCCCTGAACCACCTTGCAATTTAGCCTTACCCTTCCATTTGGCCAGGCTTCCCTCCTCGGCGTGGTAGCTGTGGGTTTCAGCCTTCCCCATCGGGATAACCAAGGCGTCGCATCACGCGGACAGTATGCCAGATGTGGTCACTGCAGTGTCTTCTGGTGGTTTAGTAGTGAGACAGAGTCACTTCCACAAGGAAATTCTTGTCTCTTCCTTCTCCACCTCCTTTTATTTCTGCTCTTTCCTGCTTGCAGCTGGGAGTACTACGTGAACGACGCGCCGCGGATAGTCCTGGACAAGCTGGAGAGCTGTGGTTACCGGGTGGTGAGCATGACGGGCGTGGGCCAGACCCTGGTGTGGTGCCTCCACAAGGAATAGCGAGGAAGACTTCTGCCTTCCTCCTGGACAAGACCCTGCTGAGGATCATCTCACACAGGACCAAGAGCAAACTTCCCTCCTTGATTCCTTTCTGTCCCAGACTCCAGGCACTCGGGCACGGGGGGAGGAGCGGTGCAGAGGCAAAACTTGACCCAGTGCAAACTTGCCGTCCCTGCCGTTTCACAAGACGGGGGGGGGGGGGAAGGTATGCCCAGTGCAGACAAAACCACGCACAGAGAGCAGATGGCTCTATCTCTGCATCCATCCCAATGGCAGTCTGTCAAATTCCATCTTTTTACATTTTAATCATCTCCTATTTAGCACGCATTGGAGGAGGCTCAAATAACAGACTCGTGTGCCTGTTCCTTGGGCTGCCCCAGAGCGGTACGTGCTGAGCTGTGAGTTCAGGGCATGCCTGCTCCCAGGCCATGGGGGGAGGGAGGGGAGGCCAAGCACGTATGGCATACTGTCTCATCCCTGAAACGTAAACGGGAACGGCTGAACCCACGCAGTGCTCTCAGAATCCCTTCGCTTGGCAGCAAGGCCACTTTCTCTCCCTCGTGGGGTCGTGGTTTGCAGCATCATCAGTCTTCATCTTCCCGAAATAGCCTTAGAGCAGCACAGAAAGGTCTTGTAAACATTTCAGGTACAAGCTCTGTAGTTGCAGTGCTGGATTGTTTGGGACTGTGTATCAATCCTGCTGTGGGGGTAACACCAATAAAACATTTCTCTAAAGGGACCAACGTCTTTCTGTGGGTTGTTTCAGACAGTTGTTGCCAAAGCCTTCTCCATCCACAGCTCCTGAACAAGCTTTCAGGAATTAAAAGAAGCTCCAAGGTTTGGCGTTCTGCTAGCACCTCTCACACCCTGTCCTCTGTGACTGGGCAGCTGCTCTGAGTACACAGACTAACAGGTTAATACACTTACTCTGAGGCTTATCCAGCCATTTTTCCCCCTGCTCTGGAGAGGGATAAGGGCTGCAGCCACCGAGAGTTCGTATTCCTACAACAGTTTTTAAAAAAGGAGGTTTATTGACTTAATTTAAGAAAGAGCTTTGGAAATGAAGAATAACGGGGTGGGGAGAATCCACACTCTCTCACGCTACGTGTGAGACTCCTCTGCGTCTTCCCGCTTGAGCTGTTCAATAAGCTGCTGCCTCTCTGCTGCTTGCCGCATCCTCATCATCACCAGGCTCTCGTAATCCCGTTCGGACACCACTGAAGCCTAAGGGCAGAAAACAAATGCAACCTGTCAAGGACAGCATATCCCCCAGTCCCTCTCCATAAACCACACTCGCAACAGGCTCGAGTCAGGAAGGTGTTCGTGGCAGAATGACCCCAGGAAATCAGGCAAGGTAAGAAAGCTGCCTGACCTACAGGCCAGAGCCTGCTGCACAAGAGTGTTCCTGGCGAGACCAGGAGCGGGAGAGACGGAGCTGGAATGACCCTCTTGCTGCTGGAGCATTCCCTGCTCACAATCAGGGTGGATGGGGAAGCTTGCTCTGCAAGTGCAACACTGGTGCACCAAGCCCAGCGTGTGCTTCGTCCGTTATAAAGGCTAACGCCACAAAAAATACAATCAAACCTTCCTGTGGTTTAGTCATGGAAGTGTCTGCAGAGAGAACACCACCAGGTACGTTCCCAAACCCGACATGAGAGCGTTCCAGTTCCCAAAAGCTCTTGGAGCCCTTCTGCTGTGTGTGGCAGCAACTGTCACGTCGACTAAGCGGTGATTGCAGACTGCCTAATACGCGTAGGCAGCAGATGACAGCTGCTATCGCAGAGCAAAGCGGTGGTTTTGGCACTCTGCTTTCAAAAGCCATTTAACATTAGTAGGTGGCCCTACTATTTCAGATGTATTCAAAGCACCGCAATGCTTGGAAACATCCATCTCATTTGCTTGATAGTTCAGGTAGGAATAAAAGCGTCTCGACAGAAGATGAATGAAAAAAAAAAATAATTCATGGTAATTTTTCTAGGAACTAGATTCAGTGGTGATTTAAGGACATCTTAAACACAAAGCAGAAGGGATGAAAAGGCAATAGAATAGCTAAACAAGATTCTGCATAAAAATGGGGCAAGGGCAAACCTGTTATCATGGGCCAGCAAAGCAGCTCCTCCAGCTGCAGTGTCTAGCTGTGAGGACAAACTAGAAGCCCACAATAAATGAGAAACTTGGACCAGGAAATTAAGAGACTAATGTGCCATAATTGGTAACTTAGGAGCTGCATAAATGAAATAACCTTTCAGGACCGCGCAGCACAGACTTTCCCGGTGTCTGAGAAAGCACCAGATGGTATCGGCCTTCGGTGGCAGAACCAGGCTTCTTCAAAGTTCCTGTCCACCAACCACAGATACTTACTGCCGTTGGCTTGGCTGAATGGAACAGCCTACCTGAGCCTCACGCAGGTGAATCACCCGTACGAACCTGAATCACCACCTCACACTCTGGATTTAAATCTAAAAACAGACAAGAGATTATTTCCGGCCCCGCTTGGGAGCCCTGCCGACACAAGGAGCCGTGAGAAGGGGCAGAAGGGAGAGCACCGAGGGAAGAGCCAGTCTGAGTCGAGACGGGCTCCAAGGCGACGTGCGCGCCGGGAGCTCTCGAGCGACGCGGGTGCCTCCGAGGGAGCCTGCCTCCTCCTCGGGCAGAGTGTGGGCTGATGCTCTGCCACTCCACACACCTACTTCCTGCAATCCTGGCAATTACCAGTAGTGTAAAACCCAGTTTCTGACGTGGCTGACTCAGCAAGGGCTTGGCTCAAAACAAACGCACACGCAAAAGGAACGGCAGCCTGGGAAGCAGCGACAGGCGGCACATGAAGAGAAGGAGGCACTGTGGATTTTTAGTGTTCCGGGTCCAACCTGGCTGAAATCGTCCCTGGACTCGTGCCTTCCAACGTCCCAGCACACTGGTGAACGTGGTGGTCCCAGTTCTCCGAGTGCTTCCGCAGTTTCCTCTGTTGGACTCGGGTGCTGCTCCGACACAGCGTAAGTCTATTTTGTGTTCTGTCTTCCTAACGTTTGTCTGTTACCTCTGCCTGTTGCTGCTCCTCAAATTTCCAGTTTGACTCTGTTTCTTTGGATTCCTTCAGCGTGACTGAGTCACCATCTCCCTTCCCAACCACCCACTGAGATTTTTCTACCGTGCCCTTCACCAGGAAGGTGGCTGGTTACCATGGTACCGAAGTGCCCTTCTGTTCTGGATGCTAGATTAAATCTGTTCTCATGGTGACTGTGTGCCTTCCCCATTCTTCACCAGCTTCCTCCTGCAGCACAGCTTTAACAAGCTCAGACACCGCCATTCCTTCTCCACTGAAGAAGGAGACTCCTTAATATCTGAGACAGGCCAATTGCTCCTTAACACATGGACATGGTGTGAGGTTTGCATTTCCTGCAATACCGGCCTCTCTGTTTTCCTTCCAGCTACGGGAACAGGGAAGGAAGAGGTTGTTCCTGTTGTGTGGCTTGCTGCTGATCCTGCGACTTCAGTCCAACACCTGACTGTGAAGAGTCAGCAGCTTCCTTCTTCTCGCTGCCTTTCATCAGCATGGATACTTGGCGGAGAGGGTCCATTAAGTCCACGACGTTCTTCAGACGCTTCTCGCTCAGGAGACACAAAAAGCTGGGCAACCAGGTCATCATCTTGAATCAGAACAGCCACACTCTGGACACCGACGGGCAGTGCCAGAAGAGGGAATGCTTGAGGGATCTGAAGGACAAGTCTGATTACCTGTCATGTCAGAGCGAGCAAAACCTGGCCAAGGCACAAGCACCTCCCAAGCCTCCCCGGCTGTACCTGGACAGTTCTAGCTGCCCTAACATCATTGACCACACAGATTCGCACTCTGACATCTCCTTTTCTGGTGCTACTCATCAATACCACAAAGCCACTCAAACTCAGTTCCACAAGGACCAGGCTACAGACTGCGGGACCTCAGAGACAGGTTCCCAGAATGGCACCACTCTTTCTGACCTGTCTGATCCCTTCCTGTCCTTCAAAGTGGATTTGGGGCTATCGCTTCTCGAGGATGTTCTGCAGACCCTCAGGAAACAGAATCCAAGAGATTACGCCATTTGAAGGTATTTATCATTTAACGTACCACATTTACTTACTGCTGCTGCCAGTTTCTGTGGCCCCAGCAGGAGGAAGGATACTGCAGCATTCCTGTTGTGTGTGGCCTGTTGTGTTGTTCTCGTCTCACTCGCCACAGACTGTCCTTGTCCTTGCCAAGGAGTCTTTCAGAGCAGAGCTCGCAGGCTCCGTGCTCAGATGAGAGCACTGTCTGCTGGAACTTCGTGGACGTGCTTCCATTCTCTACACTGGGAATTTTCCCACTCTTGACTGTGCATCTCCTCCTTGTGGAAGAATGGCATTGTTTGGCAATAGACTTGTTATTTTGGGGACGTGGCCATGGAGCATGGACAGAAAGGGATATGGCATACATCATTTGTGGATAAGCAGGCAGCTCGCAAGGAGACAGCAGCCTTGCATCTCGAAGCCATAGCTATGGCAAGGGTCAAGAGACAGAAACTTGTGTTTCTTCTCCCACCATGTTTGGATGTGAAAAATCAAAGCTGTTAGTCCTTTTTTTTTTTTTCTTTCCCCTTGTGGGTTTCTTTTCCCCTAACTCAAGTGCAGTTGGCACTCCCAGCCTGGAAACAGGTAAGCATCCATGTAGGCTTGTAATACAGAAACAGCAGTTTATTTATCCTACTAGCAGGAGAAGAAATCTCTCTAGATACTGCTGCTTGAAGCATGCACTGATCTATCAGCTGTACAGATATGGAAGAATAAATGTTATCTGTGACTGGAAGCGTCTTGTTGCCTCATTTCATTGGTAGCAAGCCAGAAAAAGTGCAGGCATCAAGAGCACAGGTCCCTTATCTGTAGTGACCAGGATCTAACCTCTCTGGCACTTCAGGTTTTCACGCGGGTGGGGAAGCAGTGTGGTTCTGCTTTTCTGGGCTGGGAGAAAGCTAGAGCTGCCGGTACTTTATCTTCCCCTGAGGAGAGCACACACGGTTCAGATCAAGACCCAGCACTGGAATGAACAGTTCTTCACCTCGTGAGCTGGACAGAGGGAAGGGCTCTGTCAGGCTGAGAACGTTTTA